AGCAGAATAAAACACGGTTAAGTGTAGAAGGGCTGGGGTCAAGGTTTGAGAAGTGGAGAGAGACTGAGGAGCTAATGAAACTTGGATCATGCAGAGTGGAATCAGTGAGATGCATGCAATGAAAATCTCAAGTTGTATTCCATGACCTCCATTCAGGAAAATCATTTCATAACTTTATATACATTTATGCATTTTTCAGGCGCCTTTACCCAAAGCAAAATTACATTTTAAGGACTGATCACATTTGGTCAGTTTTTGTCGTCCCTGGGGTTCGAACCAATGATTTTTGCATTGCCAGCACAATGATCTACTGACAGAGCCACAGGAAAGCTATGAGTTCCTTTATTGTTGTTATTTAACAGCTCTAGTATTTTTTTATAAACATCTTTTTTTCCTGTTACCGCCTTTTTTTTTAAATTGAATAGTTATACATTACTAAATGGCTGATTAATGTATGTGTAAAAATGTGAAATTAGCTCATTTCATTTAATTTATCAGTCCCAAGAAACTCAGATTATATTGCCTTCTAGTTTCTTTTTAGCTCATGTTTTAAAATGCCCTAAGCGTTTGGGTTTTAGAATTATTCATACATTCAAAGTATTTTGAGTAAATAATGGTATGAAAGGATGATGTTGTAGAGGTAAATTAAGAATCCAGAATAACACGAGTTTGGAGCAATCGATCCTGGCATGACTGTTCTATGTGGAAGAAGATGAAACCAGGGGCATCACTAAACCCAATTTACAGGGACACATGCCCCAGTGGGACACATCAGTGTTCCGATAAAATCTTAAAGGCTGTATATAATTTGCTTTATCCCAGAAATCAACATAAACTTTTTGATGAATGCGGTTGCAAACAGTGCACTCATTGCAGTGGTCAAACTTTATTTTACAAAACACTTTATTTTATGATTTATGCATATTTTAGTTTTGTGTAGTTTTTTGAGGCAAACCCTGCTATTTTACTAATGACTTGACTTGGTATGCCTAAGCTCTTTTTGAGCTCTGAGTGAGCTTTTTTAGACATGTTGTGCAAGACGATTCACTCTTCTATCTATTTCTGCATGTTGACATCATAGCGAATGCTACATCTCTGCTGTCTCTTGCCACCATCAAGCTGGACACAGTCTTCTCTAATCTGTGCCTCTTCGTTTGTCTATGGTTAGACTTTTTTTTTTAAAGCAGTACAACCGAATAAAAAATTCTGGCTATTATGAAGCTATGTGGTCGTACAGCGTTTTGGTGTCGCACACTGTAATGACGTATACAGTGATTCTGTCTGGCCAATCAGTGAGCTCAACAACTGGCCAGTCAGTGATCAACAGGATGTTGGGATGCTTTTCTTTCCAATCAGAGAAAAGGTTTGAAAAAAGGTGCAGACCATTACAAAAAAGCTTGATGGAAAAGCGGCATTTGAAAGGTTGGACCGGGTTGAGCCCCGGTGATGAGGTGGATGGGGTGCTTGACAAGTTTGCGGTTGCAAAGGGCGACCTAAGATTGAGTCCTGAGCTCGCTGGTCATTTGCCCGCCCTTTCGTACCCATTCACTTCCTTTCTCTTCTTCACTGTCCTACATAATAAAGGAACAAAAAGGCCAAGAAAGGTTAAACCGGAACAATAGGAACGTCTTTTTTTTTGATGGGATTTGTTTTAACCAGGCATTGCACTTCTCCTTTTCTGAAAAACAGGCCCATAGTTAGGAAACTATTCAACAACCCCATGTTTGTTTATTTGCACATTTATGCAAATAAACAAATTTTATGCACATTTACCCTCTTTTAGTGAAATATTTGGAACATTGCTGTTGTAAACTCTTTTCTAAGTGGTGATTAATACAGCTGCATAGGGCTACTTCAGTCTGTGGTTGGTACCAGAGCATTTCTTGACAAGTTTCTCCATCATTAACACAGACTTGGACCAAGTCATTGAGTTCAAAAACATCACCATCTGTTTTGGGTGTAACAATACACTCTGTTCGCGATACGATACACACCTCAATATTATGTCTATGATCACGCTATTTACCAACTATGTTTGTATAATGAACCATCATTGTAAAAAAAAATAGAATTTGCCAAGTTTTGACAGAGCAGAACCATGAAACCCTACTGATAGAGTTCCAAACATGACAATCTGTTCTCACACGGTGACCACCGAAAAAAAGCCAAAGGCCGTGGGATGTTCAGATTCACTCGATGCTTCCTGGCTGTGACAGCACTAGCGCTTTGTTTCGTGTAGTATTAGAGAGTGAGGCAAGAGTGTGTGTTTCTGTTGACCTTCATTGGCTCTCATCAATGAATAGTAAGAACAAGAGGATGAGAGTGGAGGGTGAGTGTTGTCGGTGTTGTTGGGAGAGTAAACAGCAGCCGGAGCCTGGGAAAGGGCTGGGATTCAAACCATGGTGTTTCTGAGTCATACGCTCTGCTTATCGAGTTTGTTTCGTGTTTCTCTACCTGTGTTTGCTTTAGGATTCCTGCACAGTACATAGGGAATGTTAGCTCCTGTCCATGTTTAATTAAACCCCATATGTTTTCCTCACTTTCCACAGGGGGGAAAAAGCGAAACCAAGCTGTTGGATCCATTAGCGGGTCAAGCAACAGTCATTGTTCATTGCTTCCTATAAGCTTCTATTTTCAAGAGCTTTGTGGAACAATGGCGCTTGTGGTTGTGTCAGGTGTTTGCAGTCGCCACGAAAACCAAAACAAAGCAGATCAGAGGATGGAAACAAAACACTTTCTAATCCACAACACGGGAAACAGGGTTTGATCTTGATACTGGAAATGAATCAGAACTGACGGAGGTCTTGATTGTATAACTCTGTGGTTGTGTTTATGAAAATACACACATGGAATCTCAAAAGGAAAGGATGAGGTTTGTGTCATGCAGAGGAGATGAGTAAATACTGTGGTTGAACACAGAAGTGAAATAGTTATTTGGAAATAGTTGAGTGTTTGAAGGCATTTGAGTCTAATTGGAATCTGCTTCAGATTTCCTGTTGGGTTTTCTCAATTCTAAATGCCATAAGTATGAACAGGATCAGAAACTTTTCTATAAGTCAGCCATGAAATGTTAGAATCACTTTTATCCTGTTGTGACACTTTCAACCCCATCAAATTAAAATGAACAGCAAAATTGAGGCAAATCAAAAAGATGTCTGACGATCCAGTTCAGATTCATACTGAAGGCCTCTACACCACGATCGATCCGAATTGAGATTCAAACTAATCTTCGATGGCTACTCAGCAGGGTGCTCTTCATATGGGTCGTGGAAAAATTGATGCAATGACCCTCCCTGCTTGAAGATGGCGTTGCCATGTACAACAGATGCCCTCCGTGTTGGGTGCTGTTTTTTTTTTAAAGCACGCTGTGTGCAGCCACCAACAGTATAATCTTTCGTTGACTTCTTCTTGCTCCCACTCTTCTTCCCTGTAACCTGCGCGGAGTCGCACCGAGTGGCTCTATTTTGTCCAACTCATGCTATTAAAAGCTTTCATTTGTCGTTCTCCTTTCGAAAAACTCTTTTTTGTAGGCACCACTAGTTCGGTGTGAGCTCCCAAAAAATGAACCATTGACACGAAAGAAAAAAAACGTTAAAGTTTACTCTACTATAAATACTGTACTTTCTGAGGAAATAGTTTTCAGCTTTTTCCCATAGACTTGTACTGGGTGGTAGTCATTCTGCAGCTAAGGGGGGCGCTCACAACTCTCACTCAGTTGACACCCATGATTTCTCACAAGAAACTTCAGATTCCAAATTTTGGATTGATATGTAATTTCAATTCATTTCATTCTGAGTTAGACTCAAAACAGATCAAACTAGAAGTCAGACTGATTAACTCATCCTAAACCGATTTATCAGACGCATCCATACATCGATACAATTCAGAATGAAGCCTCATTTGGTTCACACCAAATCCATTGCAGATTATTAAAATCAGAGAATTCAGATCAACTACGTTAACTTTAATCCGCTTTATTTCAATCAAATCAAAATTCAGATTTATCTAGATTCAGTACGAAACAGATCAAATCAGAGCTGAAATCAGATTAATCTGGTTTACATTTACCCTGTACAGATCCATTTTCCCAGATTAAAACCACACCCAAATGAATAAAATCACTCAATTCACATTTAGTCAGTCAAGATTAATGAAGCACTTCAGATTTATACAGAATGCCAACTGAGCATCATAACATTTAGATCAGCCAACTCACAAACTTACATGCTAATCTCATTCAAATCTTGAGATCTGGATCAATCAAATGTAGACTAACAGTTTTTTATATACGCTTGCTTAATTCAAACTCAAATTCCAGCCATGTGTTTTACTCTCCGACCTTTTTATATTTTTACTGTAAGAAGAGCCAAAAAAGATTAAAGCAAAAGAGACTTTCCATCTACAGTTTATCTGTTTGCATTTGCGGCATCAAAGCAGGCTCTCAATTTCAAGCCCGGTCCTTTTCAATCTGCTGAACATGGCCACATTTGTTTTAAATCATAGCTGAATGAGCTGCTCTGACAGGCCTCTACCTGACCCCTCTGTAGGGCAATAGCTCTCCACGCACCCACCCCTCGCCCAACAGAGCAGAACCGAAAACCTGAACGCCTCACAACAGGCCGATCCAACACTCCACTAATGACTCAGAACTGATAGCAAGCTACTAGAAGCCTCTTAAGAATCTTGGAAACATTGAGATATTCATTTTTGTTGCGTCCCAAGGACTTGTGCAGCCTCTAGAAGGGCAATTATCACCCTGCCAATATTGTAAATCCATTGTGTCATTTTCAATGATATCTGCTTGTGTCGACAGTAAGGCCTAATAAAAGCTAATTGCACATAACAGCCATGGATCAATATATTAAGCGGGAAGGTAGCAAGACGTACCCTCCTGTAAAGCGCTGAGAGAAGGAGCAGAAATGAATCCATTTCTGGACTCGAGTTGAATCATCTAGGACAGTTTCCAGCTAGTCTAATCTCGATGTTTCAATTTCAAAGGCTTTCCTTTGGTTTAGTTGGTAGAGCATTGCTCCAACAACGCAAATGTCGTGGGTTCAAACCACAGGGAAAGCAAGAACTGACCAAAAACGTGTTCATTCTTTCAAATATAAGGATAAAAGTATCTGCCTAAAGCATAAATGTAAACGTAGTACCCCTGAAGTTCAGCCTCTTAACATTAATCGTGTGAAACCTGGACATGAAAACCATTTTAATCGTATTTCAATGCGAGTAGGTCACAATGAATATTTTTAAGATGATTGGAACAAGCTCCTGGTATAGCTATTACAGAGGAAGCAGAGAAACTTTTCCTACCACGTTTCAAAATATAAAAGGCATCTTTTTAAAATAACAATAAAGCTTGATGATGAACTGGCAACCCTTGACCAATACCAGCTTACATCTTGGCCCTTATTTGATATTCCATATATCAAAGGTATAAAATAGCATTGTTGAATATTGTGCTTCTTGTTGTTATTGGATAACAATTAAATATTGCTAGCTTGCAGTAATTGGAAAAAAGAGTGACCCTAAACCTATTACAACTTCTCACATTAGGTAATATGGCAAACTCCTGTGAAGAATACACAAAATAAATTTGCGTTGCACACTTCAAAATTCCACAATACAGTGGTACCAAGTTACAAAAAATCCGAGATACGAAGGGTCTCTCGAAAAATATTTTGCTTCAGGATACAAAAAAATCAGAGATACGAGTAATTGTACGCGTGCTACATTTGAAATGTCAACGCTGAGAGTCACGTGACTGCAGTAAACTCACCAATAGCTCTTCAATCCACTTGTTAAATCTGTCACTTCCATGTTCTGGCGCTCCACTTTCCCATTGACAGACAATAGTAAAAGATGCTGAAACTTTGATCATTATTACACCGAAAACGCCAAAAATTATGTATAGATTAGCGATAATGTGTTGTAATTAATGTTAGAGTCAAGGTGTCCTAAAAAAATAGCGTAAAGCTAAAGGTAAGACACAGTTGTTTCACACGGGGTTTCTCTTCTGAGTTGCGCTATAGAACAGCCCATTCCACTTTATAAACGTATTCCTTTTAGGATTTTCGTTTCTTGTTGGTGTTCGTAATTCGTGATAACACAACGCCTCACTCGCAAGGTAAGGTTTCACATATTTTGCATTTTATTTTATTCTGTTTATTTATTTTTCTCTGGTTTTCCTTTTGTTTTTTTTTCAACCTATACTGTTGTTTCTGAGAGCCATTGCACAGATTAGGCGTTTTATATGTAAAACTTGCTTCGACGTACAAAACTTCAGGATACGAAGGCCACCCTGGAACAGCTATGTTATGCTCTCAGAACCAGAAGCCGATTAAACCCGAAACTCAAGAAATCAACTATTCAATTGTCTACCCGTCTAAATCTGCAAAGGTTTACGATTTCATTCGTTTAACTGACTAAGAATCAAAGATCAACGTAACCCAAATCATCAGAACCTTCCATCAATATATGTGCACGGTCAATAAAAAAAAAGCCAAAAAACCCCACAGATGATGCATTCATCACGTTGTGGATGCAATATTTGTGACCGTGCTCAATGAATTTTTTCTCAACCTCTCCTTGGTAGCAGATTTTGACTGTGTTCAGCCTCCTACTCAGCTGTTTCTGTTAATAACTGGGTTTCTACCCAAGTGTGACATTGATGATCATAAGCAGCTGTTTGGTAGAAAATGATGTTGGTTTGAACACAAAATGTTTGAGTCTTTTCTTCCGCCCGCTCTTTTTGCATTTAGTAAATTTACAAAAATAAATAATCAGTATTTATTTTTTTCTGGAAGCATGATATGTTTACAGCAAATCTTTGCACAGTACAGTATTTATTAACCCAAAAATGGCTGGAACTTATGTCCTGAATTGTAATTTTTTTACATGCATCCCATCAAATGTAAATTGGCCTAAATGAAAACAAAATTAACGTCACATTCCGTTTAATTTCAGAATTGCTTTGAACTGCTTAACGTTACTGGGTTAGTGGCTACGATACTTCCAAAATGAACAGTATGACCATTGAGTCAAGCCAAAAACACAACATCCGCCAATGTTCTATTTTGAATTCAAGAGCCGTCTATCTAGAAGAATATCTAGCAAAGCTTCCATTTCCATTGATGAACGACTACTGCGTAACCTGCTGAAATGTTTGCTGACCTTTTCCCAAAGGACAAACAGCGCTAAGATTTTCTGTAGCACTCAAACCCATTTAGTCAGGCTCTTTTTGTCTGCTTCCTCTCTCATCAAGGGTCACTATTGTGCCAGCTCAGGTACCGACTAATGCAGAGCAAATACTTCTACCTAACCATTAACACAGAGCCGTGTTTGATCAGTGCGAAACACTGGAATGGCATTTATGGTGCAGAGCTGTTTTGATAGAGAAGAATCTTCATCAATTAGCCCTCTACACTCTTCCCATGGCAGACTGGGGTTGTGTGTGCGCTCCTGAGACTGAAAGAGATACAGTTTGCCCTGCGTTTAATGGCACTCTAACTGGAGAGGCGATCATTAACCCATTAGAATAACATGTCTCTGGCTGGGAGCTTCTTCGAGACGGGAAACCCTGGGAGACTCGCGTCAGAGAGCGTTTACTGTAAACCTCCGAGACACTGGGGAGATGTTGAGAGACATCATAATGTCTCTTGTTGCCCTCGGGACAAGCGCTTGCTCGTTATGAGAGGTGTTAACAGATGTGGGTTGAGAATGCGTTTATAAACTGTTGTCAAACACTAAAACTCACTTTCACTTAATCAAGTATTTGTTGTACAACTTAGAATAAAATTGTCCTTTTAAATGCAACTTTTGTTTCATGCTGTTAAATAAAACAAACGGACGTTTTTTGTGTATCTGTATTTTTCCATACTTGTGACAGTTTTTAGTTGTTCCTATCAGGGACGTCACTAGGGTTGACAGATAGGGGGGGCTTAGCCCCTGGAGGGCTTCTCGTACATTGCATGCGGTGAAAATAGAATTTACTTTATTAATCCCTTTGGGAGAACTTTTTGGGAACTAGTACTAATGACACTAAATTTCCCTCGCGGTAATTGGGAATAGATACTAACATTATGTGTACTTCAGAGATTCGACAGGATATTAGACAGCTAATAAAAGATTTTTCATGATGTTAGCATTTTAGACGACGTTTGCTTTAGCTTCCAACATTAAGGTTGAAATAGACTAGGCTACAATATCATCCTTCCTTCTCTTACCATAGGTAAATGTTCAGATTAGCAACAATCGCTGCTATCAACGTGCAATCGCTGACCGTGTGTACACCGTGTGTTCACTGCTGTTTACTGCTGCTGCCTCCACACTGTTGTGTTGGTCCAGCTGCTTATACGGCCGCCTACCACGTCACGCTTGACGCATGCTAATGAGGCGTGATGGGAATCATAACGATAATAATTTTGAAAGCGAACTTCAGTTTAACTCGCTTTCTTGCTGGCTCGTGTTCGCTGCGTGTATGCACTTATTTAAAATCTATTTTAAACATCAAGATAATAATAATAAATAAAATGTCACCCCAAATAATAGGGGGGCGGGGCTTTGGGATATTTTAGGGAGGCTGAAGCCCCCCTAAATTAGGGCTAACGACGTCACTGGTTCCTATACGTTTGTATAAAAACCAAAAAGTTTTAATCTGTAATCAAACGCCGCTTTACATGGATGGGCCTGGGACCAGAACCAGGGTGAAATTTTATTGAAAAACATTTTTTATTTTTTATTTTAGTGTATTGTCAGAGACTAAATTAAAAATATCAAGACTAGCTGTTTATTGATTTCATTTCTTGACGTCTCAGATTCAACAATATACTTCAACATTCCCCAAGAAAATTCTGGGAAAATGAAATAATTGAATTTTCTTAACTTTGCACTCACGGCAAACATTCATGAATGCCTTGAGATTGTAATGTTTAACACACACAAAAAGGTTGCATATAAAATAAAATACTCTATAAAATAAGAAAGCCTATGATGCAATAACCTCTCAGTTAACATAATACAAATAATTCTAAATAGTAGAACTATTTGATCATTTTAACAATATAGTACTAGTCTTTAACATCTCAAAAATGTACCTGCATTCTCCTTGTACCATAAAATCTTGAGTGTCCACACTATCGAAAAGGAGTCATAAAGACATTAAGGTCTTGAGGTGTTCCAAACATTAATCCCATAGAAAATCTGAGGAGGGAACTGAAGGTTCAAGTTGCCGCATTTCAGTCTCAAACTGTAAAACACAAAAAATTTATACCAATTAATAATAATGATATTATGCTAATATATAATGATATTGAAGTCACGTTGTCTGAACTTTAAAGCACAGAACTTTAAACATATTTTTATTTTTTATTTGTTTCTAATCTTGAATGTGAATAATTTATTAACATTTATATTTGAATTAAATGCTTATGTCGAAAAAGTTTAATTTAAATTTATGGTCTGTAAAGTAATCTTTGTGATTTTATTCCTTCTCTCGTCATTTCCTCCACCTTTCTCCAAGTTTATTTATTCCTGCGGTGTGCGTTTTCGTTCAAAAACACTACACTGGTCGACTAAACTTGTAACCAATCAGAAGGAGGGGGTGTATGTAGTTGCAGCGCTATTCGTAGTAGTTTATTTTTTGTAAAGCACCTTTCTCAGAGAAAACTCACATAGTGCTTAACAACGAAACAAATATAGCAAAAAAGATAAATAAATAAAACAGCCATAAACCAAAAACACATCAAATCAGGACAACATTAAGATAAATTAAAAACACATGACCAGTACAAAAACTTTAATACAGCGCGACAAAAATAAAGCCCAGTTATTGATTCGGATAAAGATTTTCTATAAAAATACGTTTTGAGGTATTTTTTATTAGAATGGGAATATTTCATATTTCTTTTAAAAATGGGATTAGCCCCTTTTCATGTTCTGGTAAATGTAAGCACCAGTTCCCGGAAATCCCCAACCTTTCTTTCAATAAACAACCATTGTTTTCTCATCGTTTCCACTCAAAACAAAATACATCACTACATATTAAATCACAAAGCCTATAAAACTATTGCG